TAAACCAAGAAATTTTTATTAAATTATAATATATTATTATATTACTATTGGTTTTTATAGGTCCGTCAATATTATAACGAATGGATATCTGAAGAGATAAAAAAATTAACACGTAGTGGTCGTATCCAACATTCTGCTTATTGTACAGTTGCAGAATAGGTCAAAAGAGCATAGAGAAATATTAATCCTACGCTTATTCAAAGATCATTTAAATGTTGCAGTATGTCAAATGCAAGATATAGTTCTGAAGACGACTTGATATTTGATTATAATCGAATCATTGAAAATAAGACACAAAGTAGCAGTTACATTTTTGACAATAATGATAATGAATCTTCAGTAAATTCTTTAACTAGCGAGTTGTCAGAGAACTCCTTAGATAGTAATATTCCTATTGATGAAATTTTATTAAATGACAAATTTGAAAATAATAACAGTAGCGAAAACGATCCTCTTGATTATTATGACAAAAAGGTACTTAATTATGTAAATTCTTGAGATTAGGAGAGCTATACTATTACAGCCTTTAATAAAAAAAGTGCAACGAAATCAAACAAAAAAAAAAACTTTCAACTTGATATTTATTAATTGGTTTAATTTTTGGGACAAATACTTTTAATATTGGATACTGTTATAAGAAAGGAACGGATTGAATAGAATGAACTGAAAGCATTCATTTTTTATTAAAATTCACAGAAATGGAAATTCTATTGCAATAAGTAACTTTAGAAATTACTATCATAATAGAATTAGAGTTGAACGGGATAATATGTGGAATTCAGCTATTATCAAAAATCTGCAGAAACAGAAAATATTGCAATCAGTGATCTTGAAATACTGCTATTGAAATGAAAAAAATTCAGTTATTAAAGTTAAAGTAAAAAATACTAATCATTGGTATTGAATATTGCTATTGAAACAGAGCTTGAATAAATATTAATAGAAAAGATAGCATTGGTTATTGTCATCTAAATAGGATTGGATAATAAAAAACAAATATAAACCATTTATTAATTGTCAATTTACTGATAGAAAACGTTTATAAAAAAAAATATAAACATTAAATCTAATCTCTTTTTTTTTTGTAAAAATATTTTTTTACTTTTGTGAAATTACAAAAACCTTAAAAAAAATCTAACAAATTACTAATGTTTTTGTTAATTGCTTGTCTTTTTGCTGCAAAGATTTCTTCAAATAAATTTTATAAAGATCGAATTTCTTATATAAAAATATAGTGATTTGCAATTTGATTTCACAATTTTAATTATATTATATGTTTTTTTGATTGGTTCTATTTAGCTTTAGGCAAAGAATCAAATTTGCTAGGCTCAAATCTAATTGGCTAATACTCTAACCATACAATAGACCCAGGTCTTTTACTTTTCATCCTAAACCGAGCCCATGTTGCAGACCCGGGTCTACTATAAAAGGGTCTACTATAATAGGATAGTTTATGCTACAAATTATGGTATTTAACTATAGTTAAAGTAGATTTTTCTAAAAAGCTTAGTATAGTAAAGATAGAATCTAAAGCAACAAACTTAAAATTTAGAATTTAGCTTAGCAAAAGAAAGAAACTAAACTTAAACTCAATATCAAAATGATATCTTTAAAGAAAATTAAAGGTGTTTTTGCATTATCAATAAAACAAAGACAGGAAATATGCAAGATACAAAAAAGATTTATTTTCCAAACTGATAGAAATGTAGTGAATTTTTTGGGATTAGAAGACCCAGAATTTGTATCATTTATACGTATAGCATTAGAAAACTACAAAACAGCTTTTCAAAAGTACTCCAAAGGAGAGAAACTAAATGCAGAAGTTTAGGAATTAGTAAGTATCGACCCAAAAACTAAAACAATAAATTTGGAGGATCATGCTAGAAAAAGACTTCAAAAAGAAGATAATACTTTACCAGAACCGAAGGTAGATAAGAGAAAGTCTTCACTATTTTAGACCAGAATAGAAGTAGAAGAACTTACAGCCCAACTAGTTATTCATAAAATAACTCAGAAAAGGAAGCATACAGTTATAGAAGATATTAAAGAAATAAGCAAAGAGGAATCTAAACCCAAACGATAAGATAGCAGTGTAGACAAAGTAACTGAAGCAATTTTGAATGAATCAGAAAAAAAAATTCTAGAGAGCTCAGACGATGAAAAGATAGAGGATAAAATAATTCTGCTATATACAGAATATAGAAAGAAATCAAAAAGACAAAAGACCTCGTACTATTAAGACATAGCAAAAGAATAGTAGAAGTCTCATCTAAAAAAGAGAAGAAAAAGAAATATAATATTGTATATGAAGATATACATGGATCTAGATAGGTCCAAAAGATATTAACAATTCAATCTGAGTACCAGAGAATAGGCCTAAAGAAGAATCACTAAAGAAAGAAACAATACTAAAAGAAGAAATACTCAAGAATCCAATGAAGAAAGAAGCAACCCAAAGCCTAAAACCAGAATGCAAGCTAACTCTATGGATCTACCAGGGAATACATGGGCTAGTAGAGTAAGAAAAAGCCTAAATTTCTATAGTAGAGCAAAAGTTCTTGAATAAAAAAATGCTTATTAAGAGAGCAAGAAATCCAAAGCAGCCTATATTCAAGTTACTTGCTAGAATCAAGAAAAATTTAAAGCACTTCAAGAAAGTTGAATAGTACACTTTGAAGAAGAAAGTATATGCCGATTAACTTCTAGTTATTTTAACAAAACAGAGCTAAGTAACAGAAGAAAATAGGTAGCCAGACTACAAGACTTTCCTTTTAACACACTAGAGTCTTCACTCTTTTGTCAGCTTAAACCGACCAAGGCCAAAGCAGTATACATTTTTTCTAACAATAATGGTAATAGGAGAAGTATTGTGCTAGTATATTTTAAGAATAAAAAAGATTGTCTCAATGCTCAAGAAAAGCAAGTTTACTACTATAACAAGAAATTAGTATGGATGGATTTCAAAGGAGAAAAAGGAAAAAAACCTATCTATGCCAAAGTAGTAAATAGAAGTTTGGAAGACAGAATAGTGGCACACAAAAACAATCCTAACAAAAAAGAAGAAAGCCAAGTAAAAACAAAGGAAAACAAATCAAAACCTTTGAGAACAAAGAAAATATAAAAGAACCAGTAGAAGAAATATCATAGGTAGACCCAGAAGTGGAGAAGCAATTTTATAAACAATTCATAAGCTTGCAATCAGAAGATAAAAAAGACAAAGTCCTTAACTTAGAAAACAGAATAGATCAGCAACAGTTGATTTTGCAAAAAATTCTTAATAGACTAGACAAATTGAGCAAAGGGCAGGTTTTACCTGCCAATTGCTTCTAAGGGTACTTTAGTTGAAATAAAAAAAAAGACAAAGGAAGTAAACCTCTTTCCAATACCAAATAGTTCTTCAAGCTCATGTTTTAATCAAGATATCTCCAGAACCTATCATACCAATAACAAAGAAAAGGGAAAAGGTAAATTAGTACGTATGAAGATTGATGACAACAAACAGAAGATAATACTTAAAAATAAAAACAGCTTAGCTAAATTAGGAATCACTTGCTACAACATAAATGGCTCGCGAAGCAACAAACAGAAGCTAGAAGCATTACATGAATAGATACTACTTTATAATATAGATGTGTTAGGTTTAACAGAAACAAATATCTCAAGCAAAGAGAATATTTTTGTAGTGATGAATCTTGAAAATTATAGAAGCCTCTGGTCAAGTGCAAGTCCAAACAAGAAAAAAGGCTCAGAAGTGGGCCTTCTTGTAAGCAAACAGTAGAAAAAATACTTAGGCTAAATCGAAAGAAAAAATGAATATTTAATAATAGCTAGCTTCATATTTAAACAACTAGAGCTAATCATAATGATAGTATACTTACCTCCAAACAATAAAGACAAGAGTAAAAAAGTTTAAAAAGAGATTCTAGAACGATATATCAACCAATCTAAAAAGGCACAATTAATAGTCATAGGTAACTTTAATTGTATATCGAACCTTTTCTAAGACAAATCACACTATATAGAGAATGAACTATTTAAGTTGGATCTTCTTCTTAGATAGCTTCAAAAGCAAGATTTTGAAGATTTCTTCAGATTAATAAACCTAAGAAGTAGAGACTTTTCTTGGATAAATAGAGAACAAAGTTCTAGAATCGACCAAATTTAGATTTCAGAAGACCTTGCAAGTAGATTATATGAAGCAGAAATCCAAGACATAGATATTATTACTAGTAGTGATCATGAAGTAGCATTAGCAAAATTTGAATTAGGTCATTTAATCTAGCAGTTAGTCATGCTAAGCTTAAAAAACAAAAATTTAAAAGAACAGTTTTCCTTTATAATGAAGCAACTAAAGAAGATTAGGATAACTA